CTCCTCAGCGGGGAACCGAATCCAGATCCATTGGGCTTGCCAGTGATGTATCGTTTGGCCAGGTGGTAAGATACCCCCTTTGGGTCTCAATTTGCCACCACCCAGCGCCATGACGCTCGTTTGGTTGCTGGTTTGGCATCAGTTTGTGAAGTTTCGGAAAACGTGGATGCTTGGCTCAAATCCGTAGAACAGAAACACCCAAAGGAATGTCATTACTCTTCGGATGCTGGCTAGGGTCAACTGGCTTAAGGAGATGTTGTCAAGGCACTCTCATTGACCCACCAGTCATATAGAGCGGCGTTCATCAGCCTAAAGTTTTCAGGGGGTTATCCCACTCTGTAGCTCCTGCTGGCAGCGGCCGAGGCTAAGTCGCCGAACCACTGCTGGAGGTGCTAGCCTCTTCCGAGCCTCGGAAAGGCACTGACGCTATTGGTATCGCGGCAATGGGTGCCTCGCCTGAAGAAGCCATAGTTTCCGTTCTAGGGCGACGAATTCGGTTGCTTAACGGCGGCATCTGCCTAAGTGGCCGATTGCGGGCCGAGAGCCCAATTGAGGAACTTCCTCTTTCTCGTCAGCGACTACTGGACTTTTGCCTCGGTCTTGAGCCATTTTTTGTGAGAAATTGAAAATTCGAGAAAAAGGGGAATGCTTTAAAATAAAAGAAATCCGAACAAGTTTCGGAGAAAATTACCTTTATCAGAATCGGAATTCGCCAACCTACAAGCTTGGAGCAACGAACTTTGGCTTTAGGTTGAGGAATGCAGAGAATAAGTGAAAAAAGGAAATCGGGTTTGCAAAGGTGTTAGCGAAAAGCAGAAGCGAATTTGCGAAGAAGTGAGGAGAGATAGTGGGATGAGTGGTTTAAATAGATTTCTAGAATCAATAATTCCGGGAGTTCACACCACTAAACCCACTAACTCCACTTAAATTCAACCGTTAAACGCCTTTCCAAATTAACTACCCACTAAACCTTCCACCTCCCGATTTATTCTCCCTAAACGGCAGTTACTACGATAATAACTACCTAAATTCCAAATTCAAATTACAATATTTGTTTCCCTCCATTTTGCAAGTCCAAACCCGACCCGTCATCCTTCCGAATCGAGTCTAGAGGGCAAGTTGTTTGGGTCCAATTCAGTCATCCAATTGGGCCAATCCAAATGATTTAATTACAAAAGCCCAAAGGAAAGGTTCAACTCTCCAATACATGCCAAGTCAGTCAAGCCTAGTCAGCATAGCAAGCCCATCTAACTTGCGGCCCAGTTCACCCATTGAGCAAGGTATAAAAGCCTTTAATTGTCTCTCGTACGTCATTCAATACAAGCCTCAATTAATTAATTCTCTTGCTTAACTTTCTCTCTCAATACACTGAACTGACTTTAGCATTTGAGGGGCCTTCCTCGGCAAAACCCCCGAGGCTAGTTTACGTGTGTATACTGTGCAATAAATCCTCGGTATAGTCTCCACTTGGACCGAGATCAGTCTTCTCCCGCCGAAAAAGGGCCTGCCGAAGGTCCTATTGTTTTCATACCGAAATAGTGTCGATATCACTTCCGATAGTGAAAGATGGACCAGTGAAGGCATCAGGGACGCATTTCTCAATCTAATGCATAGTGTTCCTCGGAATGTTTATGACTGTTATCCAACTTTTCCAATGTTTAATATGTCCATTAAGATAATGGTATGGAATGTGCAAGGTGTAGGAAGAAAACTAGCAGCTATTAGAGAATTGATAAGGATTAATGATCCAAATATTATGGCTCTTCTGGTGAACACACATTAGTGGTGATCAATCACAAAAATTGTGTGATCGTATTTTTTCAGGGCATACTAGAGTGGATGCGTAGGGTTTTAGTGGAGGCATATGGCTTTTTTTGGAGAGAGGAGATTATCGAAGTTACTGTTTTAGATAATCACTAACAACATATAACAGTTGAAATTAAGAAAAGAGAGCAAGATCCATGGGTTTTTTAGCTATCTATGCTAGCCCCGATTCGACCCTAAGGAAAGATCTTTGGAGGGAGTTGGATAATCTTTGAAGATCAATCACAGGTCCGTGGCTTCTTGTAGGAGATTTCAATGATACCCTAAGCTTATCTGAGAGAATTGGCTTTGGGGGTTCGGAAATGGAGGGACAATGTAAAGAATTTTTTGATTGGTAATTCTAATCACCTAATTGATCTTGGTTGCTCGGGACCTATGCACACTTGGAGTAGAGGTTTATCTTCTACAACTCATAAGGAAACAAGATTAGATAGATGATATGAAAGTTGGAGATTGAGATTCGATGAGGGAGTAGTCCAAAACCTGACAAAAATTACCTCGGATCATTGCTCCCTTCTCCTTAATACCAATGGCTTTTCTCCTTTGCCTAGGGCTATCAATCCCTTTCGCTTTCAAGCGGCTTAGATTAAGCATGTGAATTTTGAGCATTATGTGTCTTCGAGTTGGGATAATAATATTGAGTTGATCCCGTTCTTAAAGGTCTTCGCAGATAAATTGAATGATTGGAACAAAAATCATTTTCATAACATCTTTCGGAAGAAATCGGAAATCTGGGCTAGGTTGGAAGGAATCCAGAAAGCAATGGCAAACGGAGCTCCCCTTCATTTTCTTAAACTCGAGGATGCACTCAAGAAGTAGATGGATATTCTTGATCAAGAGGAAATCTTATTGTAGGTGTTTGAAGCGCTCCTACTTAAGCATTTTGTGAATATGCTTGGCACTCTTAGGAAGCGGGATTTGACATATACCATTAGGGACACAATTAGGGAAAAAGCAAAGTAAAGAGCCGCCAACAAGTTTGTAAGGAACTTGTAAATCGTTCACAGATCATTATAAGGCAACCACGAATAAGGGACAATGATAGGCAACAACGATTGACCCGTGAAGGTTACACTACATTCATAATCCATGAGATTACTAACTCCATATGGTTCGGAACCACGAAAGGAGGATTAGGGATGATGGTACGAAGTGAGTCATGGAGTCACATTCGGCCGTATTGGCCTCTACTCGATTCTTATTGCGAAAAGTATTCCTATAATCTCAAAGGCATGGAAACAATGATTCAATTTGCTCCAAACTATTATTAAGCTAAATTGGTTGAATGTTAATGCAACATCTAGTTCTAAAATATTTGTGACCACTTGATTAAATAACTAGATTAAAAAGGAACCTAAACCGGTCGTTCAAATTATCTTGTTAGGCGTTAAATTTAATTACATATTCCCATCAAACATGCAATATGGTGATCAATAAATATAATAAATCAACATTGGAAGCAATTTAACAATAGATCTAACAATTAATATATGACAAACATAATAAAAATCGTTAGAAATATAATAATAACAAAAGAAACATGATTCCTTACATTGATTGCGTTTGCTTGCAACTATAAAACAATAAACGCGTTATTAACGTCAACGAAAATACATAAACAATAATGGAAATTAAATTAAATTAAACTAGAGTTGATTTCGGGCCAAATCCTCAAGCAGTTCTACCTTTCACGCCTTGGTTTAAGCGTAGAGTTGCGGATAAATTACGGACTCCGGGGAGTGCTTAAAGGATGTATTGTGGAAGAATAAGGTAGGCTAGTGTTTAGGCTAGAGCATAAGAGAGAGAGAGGATAATTTGGTGCCCCGTGATTGAGAAATCAGCCTCGTATTTATACAGGAAATGAACAGGGTGATGCACGAAACCCTAGAAATGAAATGCGCCGTGGAGAAACCCTAGGAAACTGCCATGACACGGTAAAAATTGTCGTGAAACGGCATGAGTTGTCGTGACACGGCAGGAATTGCCGTGGCGCGACATTTCTACCGTGACACGACAATTCTGTTTTCCATAATTTTGTCTTGATTCATTATTATATTTTACTTAAGTATTAAGCACGTGATAATTAGGCGCCGTTTTAGCTATTCCGGACTTATTTTAGGCTTAGGGTTTTATTATTTATTAATCGGGCTTAATTAATAAACAACACGAAATGAATTAAAAAGTGTTTGGGCTGAAATGTGAGTTGGACTGTGTTTGACTAAATGTTTGGACTGATCTGTTAACTGATTTTTTGAATGTGTTTAATTGAATAGGAATTTTAAGCACTCCTGAGATTATATACTCGACCTGACCAATAATGGCGGTGAAAGGTTGTTCATCATCGGGTTTGGTTTTGGGGAGACATTTTTAGGTGTCTACACTTATGGTTTCAAACATCACAAGCAGAGGCTATTTGTAATGAGGATTGAAATACTCGGTTCCTTCACCTTTCCACTATCATTCGTAGAAGAAGGAATTGGATCGAGACATTGCAAGATAATGAGGGCAAATGGATTCCAGATCATTAGGATGTTAAAGCCTTAGTTGTAGAGTATTGGTATAATCTATTTACTGAAGAAAACAATGGTCAGGTTGTTTCAAATTTATTGCTTGATTATTTCCCTCAAGTCAATGTAGTGGATTGGGAAGTCTTGAACATGCCATTTGCAAAATTCTGGTAGTATTACGGAGTATGGACCCTTATAAAGCCCATGGGACAAACGGTTTTCGGCCCTACTTTTATCAGAAATTTAGGGCTAATGTAAGCCCTAGTGTACTCAAAGTAGTCCATGATATTCTTGTGGGAAAAAGTTTTCAAGAAAGCTTAACTGAAGCTTTCCTTGTGCTTATTCCGAAAACTGATGTTCCTCAAAGTGCCAAGGATTTTAGACCAATAAAGCTATGTAACATAATGATGCGGTGTCGTAATGCACACAAATTAATAATAATTACCCTAAGACTACTAACTTGTAATTAGTGGAAGTAGGGGTTGATCCCACGAAGAATATGCTTGAGAATAACAAAGAATAAGATCCAAAACACTTAACTAAGACTCAAAACAGTAAAAGAATGATTGGGGGAGTTTAAGGATAAGGAACAACTAACAACTAAATCTAACTAGGAACTTATACTAAAAAGAACAAGAACAGAAAAGGAACTTGAGATACTCAGCAACTATACATAGAAATCAACCATGAAAATGTATAATCCGGACATAATACTTAACCCTTTAGAATAGCTTAACTTATGGAACAAGTTCCTCTGTTTCCCCTTACTAATGGTTAGATCCCGTACAACTTTCACTAACCTTAACCAACAGATAACCCCTATAATACGAGCAAGAAATTTAACCTGATGATAGCATTGAGAACTAGGAAACCATCAAGCCAAGACAACCACAACACTCCGGAACTTACGTGATTTAGCCTCGATCAAGAATTACTTTTCAATGAATAGAGTGGAAAGTCCTCCTCAACAATTGTTTGCTACTTCATTAATGTTCCCAAGCAATTACGGACTTAGTAGTATTAATTAGAAAAAGAAACCAGACCCAAAAAAATAGTTGTACACTTACTTATAAGAAATCATCATTCGTATGAACAAAACAATAATTCAAGAATACTCTAAAGCATTAATCATTAAAACCGACAATACTCGTATCAAATACTCATTACATGGATTCAAACTATTAGTTACTGAACATAACAAGCTAAGGACTCATAACACAAAGATAAGAAATGAAAACGAAACAAGAACCCATCAAGTTCCTCAGATTCGGATCTGAGTTCCTCTAAGGTTGCTCCGAGTTCCTCTACTGCAATGTATCACAGACAGTGACGAATGACTCCTAACCCTTGAGGGGTTTTGGAGTGAGGTCTCCCCTCTCTCATGTCTCATCTTTTCTCTCTAATTTTGTGGCTTTAAATAGGCTAAGAGATAAGTGGGAATCTTTGAAAGATAAGGAAAGTAATTAGATAAGATTGTTAAAATATATCTCTTTCCATACCTAACCAATTGATAAGATCTTCTCTTTAATCAAATATATCTTTTCCAATTGCTGTAGATCTTGTAAATTATTCCCTAAGACTTCCGAAATTTGTGGATTCAATGAACGTAGACGAACAAAGCGTGCCTAGCAAGCTCTTTTTATCTCCGTCAGTTTCTCAAGTTCCTCCGAAGGAACTTCGATTTGTGTTCCACATTTACTCCTTTATTTGGTTCATCTCTTTATGTTCCAAAATTCTTCAATAACCTATAAAAACACAAAAAAGAGAAATAAGCCACGAAATATCAAAAACCTAAATAAAGACAATAAAATGCTAAAGGAACTAACCTAAAATCTAAGGAACATATATATAAAATAGTGTTAGAAATGACACTCATCAAATTCCCCCACACTTAGATCTTTGATCGTCCTCGAGCAAAGCACTCATACAAAAGAAAACAATCTATATGTCACCGAACCTCTCTTGCATGACATGGACTCACAAGTACTCAACAATAAATTAAAACAGAACTTTGTTAGATTAGCAAGCTTTTTCATATGACGAACACAAAGATTAATTGTTAGATTAGCAAGCTATGCATAAAACTTCCTCTCATTCTCTAGAAATTTCAAAAAACATAACACAATCAACTTATAAGCAATTTAGGTGCTCAATTGCAAGTGTATTGGCTCGTTGAATTAGGTTAGTCAAGTTGGACCATTATAGTCTTTCAGTTTATTCCTTGGTGCTTTCTTGTACAAGAGGCACTTACCTAAGTACATGGGTCGTTCCTTTCATATGTCATTGCAATTGCCACCCATTGATCTCAAAGGAGTACTCGATACTTTACTTTTTGCCATATGCTTTTGAGGCTTTTTAATTTGCTTTTCCTTAGTTCCTTTATCTCAGGAACTGATCAAAAATCTCTCTTTTTATTCTTTTTAAAATGGTTCAAATTCCTCACATTTGGGATTACTAATCCACTTTTCATTTTTATTTTCTTTTAAAACTTTTTCCCACGTTTCTTCCACAAAGTCAAGTAATTCTCCAGTAATCAAGAGCACTGAAAATTCACCATAGAAAACACCAAGTACTAATTAGGTGGATTAAATAAGCAAAGGTCCTTCCCAACATTACCACATCTTAAGCCAACAAAGTAGTGTTCCAAACTGTTTACAAGTCAAATTTCAAACACTTGTCACAATTGCTAGAGACGAAAATCTTTTGTGCATAACTTCAAAAACATCATTTTTTTTTCTGTTTCACTCTTTCTCAAAAATTAATTAGATTAGAATTTACAGTCTTTCCCAAGAGTTAGTCTTTCCAAGAAGTTAAGAGGTGGTATCCTAGAAACACATATGCTCTCATCATGTTCCTCTCCCCCACTTAAACTCTACATTGTCCTCAATGTAGGAACTTGGCATGCGATAAAGAAACAAAAACAAGAAAACATGAATTTATTGAACAACTAAATAACAATAAAAGATAGGGAAAAGAAACATCCTTAGGTTACCTCCCAAGCAGCGCCCTTAGTTTAAGTCATAGGCTTGACCATTCATCTTGATCCAATCAAACTCCAGCTCCTTGATAAGCAGCTTCAGCTAAGGCCATCTCTTTAGATATAAGTGGCCAATGGAACTTCAGATTACAAACCTGCAAAATTTTCATCTTCACACGAGGTATGTAATCCACATCATATTTAGCATGCAACTTCTCATTTCATTCAGTTTTATCATAAAAAGGTTCCATACTAATCCACTCATCCATTGTTTCACAAAAAGAAAAGTAAGGAACACACGGAACAACATTAGACTCAACTAAACCAACAACATGCTCATATGACCAAATAGACTCTAACGTACATGGAATCATAGGTAAAGAAGGAACATGTATAATAGGCATTGAAACTTCGTCCTCAAATAAATCATACGACTTGCCATCAAACAAGGAACAATCAATATCACAATTTCCATTTGAGTTATCAAGTTCCTCGTCAGATAACTCTACAAAAGAATCATGCATTACAGAATTGTTGACTTTAATTTCAGTTTCCATAACTTCCTCATAGTAGTTAAGTGACTCAACCTCAATAAGTTCCTCTTCCTTTTCCCCCACACTTGGTGTGTTCCCACTAGGATCATTAGGAATCAAGGTAGTTTCATTAAAATTATCGGTTCCTAAGTCACTTATAAGAGTAGCTAATTGTCCAATCGTATTTTCTAAGGATTCTAACTGCGCATTAGTATCCCTTCCAAATTGTTTTACAAGATTTGAGATGGAAGAATTAGAAACTTCATCATGCATTGGGTCATAAGTGTATGAAGAATCAAAATTAGAGGAGAAACTTGGTGGAAAATCATAAATAAATGCAAATGAAGGATGCTCATATGAATATGCCAAAGATGAATCATAATTATAATAATTCACTTCCTGTAAACCATAAGTTCCTCCGTATAAGTTAGAACATTATTGAGTTCCTGCATATAAATTATCATTAGTTACCAAAGGAACTTGATCTACAAACTTTTCTTATTTCCTTCCAGTTCTTTAAGGCTTTGAATTTCTTTAAGTCTTGCAAGGACATTAGATATAGCCATATATCCAGCCTCTAAAGTTTCCTCGTCATCTTCATCTTCATTAATTTGCGAATTTAAGTTTCTCGCCATCTCTAGGAGTTCCTGTTCTTCATCTAGCAACGAATCCATGTTACTTTGACCTTAAAAAAAAATGAAACAAGAAGGATCAAATTCTTAAATTAAATAGCAAAATAATCACATTCCCCAACAACGGCGCCAATTTTGATCCGGTGCCGAAACACACACAAATTATTAATAATTACCCTAAGACTACTAACTTGTAATTAGTGGAAGTAGGGTCAATCCCACAAATAATATGCTTGCAAATACCTAAGAATAAGATCCAAAACACTTAAATAAGACTCACAACAGTAAAAGAACAATTGGGGGAACTTTAAGAATAAGGAACAACTAACAACTAAATCTAACTAGGAACTTATAATAAGAAGAACAAGAATAGAAAAGGAACTTGAGATACTCAGCAACTATACATAGAAATCCACCATGCAAATGTATAATCCCGGACATAATCCTTAACCCTTTAGAAAAGCTTGACTTATGGAACAAGTTCCTCTGTTTTCCCTTATTAATGGTTAGATCCTGTACGACTTTCACTAACCCTAACCATAACCCCTATAATACGAGCAAGAAATTTAACCTGATGATAACACTGAGAACTAGGAAAACATCAAGCCAAGACAACCACAACACTCCGGAACTTACGTGATTTAGCCTCGATCAAGAATTACTTTTCAATGAATAGAGTGGAACGTCCTCCTCAACAATTGTTTGCTACTTCATTAATGTTCCCAAGAAATTACGGACTTAGTAGTATTAATTAGCAAAAGAAACCAGACCTAAAAAAAATAGTTGTACACCTACTTATAAGAAATTATCATTTGTACAAAACAATAATTCAAGTATACTCCAAAGCATTAATCTTTAAAACCGACAATACTCGTCTCAAATACTCAGTACATGGCTTCAAACTATTAGTTACTAAACATAACAAGCTAAGGACTCATAACACAAAGATAAGAAAAGAAATCAAAACAAGAACCCATCAAGTTCCTCAGATTCGGATCTGAGTTCCTCTAAGTTTGCTCCTAGTTCCTCCGCTGCAATGTATCACAAACAGCAAAAAACGACTCCTAACCCTTGAGGGGTTTTAAAGTGAGGTCTACCCTTTCTCACGTCTCTTCTTTTCTCTCTAATTTCGTGGCTTTAAATAGGCTAAGAGATAATTGGGAATCTTTGAAAGATACAGAAAGTAATTAGATAAGATTGTGAAAATATATCTCTTTGCATATCTTAACCAATTGATAAGATCTTCTCTTTAACCAAATATATCTTTTCCAACTGCTATAGATATTGTAAATTATTTCCCAAGACTTCCTAATTCGTGGATTCAATGAACCTAGATGAATAAAGCGTGCCCAACAAGCTCTTTTCATCTTCGTCGGTTTCTCAAGTGCCTCCGAAGGAACTTCCATTTGCGTTCCACATTGGCTCCTTTATTTGGTTCATCTTTTTATGTTCCAAAATGCCCCAATAATCTTTAAAAACACAAAAAAAAAGAAATAAGCCACAAAATATCAAAAACCTAAACAAAGACACTAAAATGCTAAAGGAACTAACCTAAAATCTAAGGAACATATATATAAAATAGTGTCGGAAATGACCCCACTCATCACATAACCTATAAAATTGTGACGAAAGTTCTTTTGAATAGGCTTTAACTGTTCCTTCCAGCGCTTATCTCTCCGACTCAATATAGTTTCGTTCCAAGAAGGCAAGTCACGGACAATATAATATTTGGTTAAGAAATGTTGCATGCAATGAGATGGAAACAAGGCAAAGTAGGATATATGGCTGTCAAGATTGATTTTGACTAGGCTTACGACAGGCTTAAGTGGTCTTTTATCCGTGACTCGCTTTTGGAGCTACGACTGCCTCAGAAAATGGTGGATATTGTCATGCTTTGTTTGAATTCGGCTAAACTGAGTATTCTTTAGAATGGGGAGCCAACATAATTTTTTACCCTCTCACGTGGTATTCGACAAGGCATTCTGCTATCTTGGTACTTATTTGTTATTTGTATGGAGCGTTTAGCACATCTCATTGATTGAGAATGCAGAGTTGGACTTTGGAAACCTGTGAAAGTTAGCCCTTATGGTCCCACAATTTCAAACTTTGCTTTTGCGGACGAACTTATACGTTTGTGAAGCAAGTCTTGACCAATTCCAATTAATGAAAAAGTGCATAGATGACTTCTGCCAAGCTTTGGAAGCAAAGTTAGTGTGGCTAACAGTAGAGTTTATTTCTCTAATAGCACTAACAATCGAACAAGAGAGGAAATCTGTCAAGAGCTAGGAGTGGAAGATATAGATGACTTTGGGAATTACCTGGAGGTCCCAACTATTAATGGTCGTGTGACAAATGTGTTGGGTTTTGCGGTGTCCAACATCATGCGCAAGGGAAACCCGCCCAAAGATCCGTGCATAAATTAAAGCGACTAAACATGCATGCAATTTAAAGAATAAACACAAAATCTATTTATAAGGAGAGAGAAAGAGGAAAAGATGATCATACCCTTAACGCGTGATTTCCACTTAGCACGAACGGGAACTCACGAATGGAGAAAGAGCCTCAAGCGCGACCCCCTCCAACGTAGTCCCCACGCGCCCAAAGTTGGCTAATATTATCGGCTATGGTAACATTAACACTACTAAGAAGAGGATCTTTTTTATTAGATTTTCTCAATGGATATGCCTTTTATAGAGTTCAAATCTTATAAAGAATTCCCAAGGGAGGCCTTTGGTATTTATAGGAGAAACATCTCCATCCCCTTTGATTTCCAATCAATGTGGGACTTTTGCAAAGTTGAGAAAAGCTAGTATTTAATTTAATTCTAAAATAAATTAAATAGCTAAAACAAATAGTCAAGCAACAAGTGGCAATCACATGGGAGTGGTTAGGTGAGGACCATAAGGAGGACCACATGGTCTCCTTGCTCCCCAAGCCAAAACCTCCACCAATCACAATTATACATGACCGGTCAAGGCCTTGGGCAAAAAGGCATGCCAAGGTGGCAGCCTTGTGCCTCGGCTGGGCCTGCTAGCCGCAGCAAGCCCATGTGGGCGTTGATCGCTGCTGGCTAGTGGGCTGGCCTGATGCGTCAGTGCGCTAGCATGCTGCTAACTTCAGCGCTGCTGCTTGCTGCTTGTGTGAGCTCGCTTGCAGGCTTATACTAGCAGCGCTGCCAGCCTCATAAGTATGCTCGCACATCAGCGATGCTTGCCCAGCATGGCCAGCATGCCTAGCTTGCTCGGCTGCTTGGCCATGCGATGGCCTAGCTCCCACGAGGCTACGGCTCGGGGTTTTGACTTGTGACATGTTGCTTGACTTATTTGCTCGTCTCGTCGATTCTTAGATTCGACGTTTGATGTTCAGCTTCGACGCTCTAAGCTCGAAATCCAACGTCGGTGTACGTATCCTCTTGTTTGACGTATTAAGGCCTTTGGCTTAATTCGTCGCCTTAGTTTGCTTGCACGCTTGGGTGTGACCCGTCGGGTTCAGTCAAAATAAAGCTGTGAGATTAATAAAATTAATCTCACTGATCGGAGATGGCCTCTAGCCCGACTTTTCGATCACTTGACTTCATTGAATAATTAACTCTGTAATTGATTCTGAACAATCTATTGGAATAATACACTTGTTCGAAGGACATCATTCATTTCAATCTCCCACTTATCCTTCTGGACAAGTGTGCTGTTTGTGTATAACTTGTTTCCTATGTCAGTTAATGCCTTTTCATGAACTATAAGGTAAGATTCTTCGTCATCCTTATTATGTCTAGAAGTGTTTCTTGATTTCTGAGTTTGACTGTTAATAAATAGATGATTTCTAAAATTCATCTGAGCACGACCATGCGTTTTCACAGTCCCGCTCTTCGAGAGGCCTTGTAAACAACAAAGACATGTTCCCTGTTGTCAATAGGGGGACATTCCCAGTCTTGCATTGTCAGCTTCTCTTACTAAGAGGCCCAAGCCGCCCTAGTGTTGCCGTTATAATCCCCTTGTACGGCAGTCATTTGACAACATCAAAACGGACTAGTACTTAAACAAGAGAACTTACAATACTCATGGTTGAGGGAAGAGGTTCTAATAGCCATAATGAGTAATATACTTATGACGATTGTTAAATCTCTTAAAGTATTCTCATAAGTCAATCCGGTATAGTTCCAAACTAATACCTGTGCAAATGATTTATGATAATCTTATCTTTATAGCACAAGAAACGGTGTTATGAATCATACTACACACTAATCTCTCACGGTCATTAGTCGTCCAACTTTTTAATGACCTCGAATAAGGATAATTTCAATATGATATTTAATGTTCACTTAATAGGTGTTTCTTTATCCAAGACTTGTCTTGATACCCTATTTTGAATATCGTCATTTCGAATGGACTCATAAATTAATTCTAAACCATAATTAAATAGTTTTGTGGAATAATTAGTAAATTTCAATAATTCCACTATGAAACTTTCCAATGTTTCATCTTTTGATAAATGGTTTTCCCAAATGGTTTTAGAGTAATACTCTTTACAAAACATTTATAGAAATCACACCCATATATAATATGCTTGATTTCTTTTATGCAATTGTGAATGTTGTGGTTCACTTATTGCATAGGTTTAGTTATGATTACTTTGCAAAGCTTAGCATCTTCATTATCAAACACTTTCATAATAAGATGATAAAATTTTGAGTGTGTTATAGATTATATGTGATTTAGGATTTATTGTTCAAGTGATGAATCCCACTAATTTTCATGAATTGAGATCTTTTACTTAACAACCTATAATCATCAAAGTTCAACAACGAACTATCCATTGAACAACTTCCTTATTATTGTCTTTAAGGCAACAATGTTCTCAACATATACTTTAGTAGAGTTCCTAATGATGTTTTGCTTGGATTTTACTCCAACCGGTACACAATGATTTGGGATACCCTAGCCATTTGTGACATGGAAATTCACCTTAAATTTTCGCACATTACACATGGATGCGAGTCCATGTTACCATTGTCAAGCCACGACGCATCTAAGCTCGCGCTTATAAATGACTTCCTTGTTAAGGATTTGATCCTTGCTAAGGTTGTGCTCACATCATCAATACTCAAATTATGTTTGTTTCCATGCATCAAGAACTCATCATCTTACTTAACCAGGTACTTTGGATGTTCTTGATCATAATCTAACGTTCCATTACTTAGATTCAAGTCGATTGGTATTTTATATTTCTCATGCTCTAAGCATGTATCATGTGACGATTCCATATCGTGGCACACATGAGGATTCAATTGCAGAATTATTCCCAATCTTATTCCATTCATGTGAATTTTAGCTCATTCAGTTTCACTGAGTCTTGCTAAACTATTTGCTTTATGATATGGTTGAAAGTCTCTACTAGAGTCTTTCTCGTTTGACTTAGTATTTGCCTAGCTTATTCTTAGTTCAAACATTTAATTAGTTTTATATGGGTTGAAAGCTTTTCCAAGTGCTTCATGTTTAATACGGTAAGTTCCTTTACTCGTTTAAACATTTTATTAAGTCTATACAATAGATCTTAATTCCCACTATGTACTAAGTATCGTCTTAGCTCAGTCCATTGTCGAAAATACTTTCAAATCTAAGCATTTAGCATTTGATAGTCATTTCACAATAGATTTCGTAAACTCCTTGTTGGACCTTGTAAGATCGACTCTTGCTCCCACTAAACTTCTTATCCATAAGAATTTCTATGTTTCTCCATAAGCCAAACCTTTTATTAACTTTATGAGAAAACACGTTCCAATTCCTACGTGCAATGTTTCCCTCAATCCCATAATGGATTTCTTGAGCTTGCATTCAAATCTAGCATTATTTAGATTTTCAAAACCCTTAGACTATTTCCATAGTCTCTTCCAAAATCCAATTTTTGGAAGGCGGTTTTGGTATCTGTTTTGCCATATTTCATATGCACAATTTTGCTAGAATAATCGCGAAAAGACTAAAGCATTTCGATTGGTGAATAGGTTTTTATTAAAATCAACGTCGTGAATTAATTGTATCCTTTTCAACCAATCTAGCTATGTAAGCATATACATTTCCATATTTGTTAGTTTTCTCCTTGAAAATTAATTTGCGATCGATGGGTCTTTACCCTTCACGCAAATTAATCAAGTTTCAAACATGATTTTCAAACATGGAGTCTATTTCATATTTTATGGCCTCTAGCTATTATTCGGAGTTTGGATTTGTCGTAGCTAATTTACAAGACACTAATCCCTACCATCTAATAGTAGATAGTATGCTTGTAAGTCTTAGGTTTATTTCTAACTTAATAGAAATTTATAGGATGCAATCCATGCCTTTGGTGAATTCTATACGTATACAGGGTAATTGCATCAAACACTGAGTTTCAAGGCGCTTTTAAAGTCCTTTGATTGTATTGATCTTAGTCCGACATTTCTAAAATTTTGTGAGTAATGAATTCTCTCATAAGGCACTTGTAAAGTTCTTTTGAGTATTCTTGATCAATTATTCTCATGAAGCCCTTCTAAAGTCTTCCGAGATTCTCAGTTATAGTTTGTTGCTAATCTCGATGGTCATCGAGTTCATTTCCCTCCCACTTGTCGTTTTGGAAATGTGTTACTTTCAAAAAAGACACCACTTAGAGAAACAAATAATATGTTCTCAATTAGTTTGTGGAAGTAATGCCCGTAG